AATAGCAGAGGATATATTTCTTACCATTAGGCTTTAACTGAAGGACAGTATCTTTCTACCAGGCAGATTTTAGTTGTAGTGCTTATTTTCTGATGTGTAGTAAGCTATAACTTCTTCAATGTAAAAGGAAAATTTTGCCCATCTCTAAGGTTCTGACTTGCAAAGCTTAGAAAGAGCTTCCAGTGCCAAGGATGCTTTAATCTAGAATGTCCAGTTAGTAGCCGTTAGCCATATGTTACCTTAATTCAATTAAAATAAAACATTCACTTTCTCAGTGCAGTAGCCACACTTCAAGTGGTTACCATTTTGGTTACTCAGATACAGAGACTCTTTCCTTCACCAATGTACTGTCCTAGACCCTAAGCAAGAGGGACTCAAATGTGGGGCCAGGTTGTTGGAAAAGTGCTGAATCCTGGATGTCTCTTCTGTTTTCTCACGTTTAGGATTAGGCCAAAACTTTTGATTGTTTCTTTTTTTTTTTTTGAGTTGAAGTCTCACTCTGTTGCCCAGACTAGAGTGCAGTGGCTGCTCCCAGCCACCGCAGCCTCAACCTGTTGGGCTCTGGCGATCCTTCCACCTCAGCCTTCCAAGTAGCTGGAACTACAGGTGTGCACTACCACACCCGGCTAATTTTTTTATTTATTGTAGAGATGAGGTCTCACCAAGTTGCCCAGGCAGGTTTCGAACCCGCGGGCTCAGGCAATCCACTCACCTCAGCCTCCCAAGGCACGGGATTACAGGCTGAGCCACTGAGCCCGGCTTGATTCTTTATATGCCTTGGATAAAAGAATTTGCTGAATTTCCATCCAGGATGGGATAAAACTGACATCATTTAAATTCTACATATAATAATATATTTTGTTATTCACTATGGCAGAAAACATGAAGCATTTTGTTGTTCTGATTGTTTGAAAATGACAGATACTGTTGAAACTTCCTTTTAGAATAAAATAGTGTTGTCTTAATATATTCTTGTGTTTTTTTGTGTATTTACCTAATTTTAAAGGTCAAACAGGATTTATGCATCACCCATCATTTTTTACTTCTGAGCCACCAAGTATTTATCAGTGGGTGAGTTCTCGTCTGAAGGGTGAAGGAATGCCACCCTATCCTTTCCTCCCTGGAATCTGTGAAAGAAGCAGACTGGTAGTCTTGGTATGTATTTGGAGTTGTCCCTGTCTTGTTTAATTTTTCCTTTCTGTAAAGTTTTTGTAGGATATAGAACATTTCCATCACCCCCCAAAACCCCCTCACAATTTTGAGATTCTTCCAAGTTACTGCCTATATCAACAGTTCATTGCGTTCTATTGCTTATTAGTAGTTTATTGTATGGATGTACCACAAGATGGTTGGTTTCAATTTTTAGCAATTTTAAATACAGATGCTGTAAGCATTCATATTCAGGCTTTTGTGTGAACATAACTTTTTAGTTGTGTAGTATAAGCACCTAGAAGGGCTGATTGATGGGTTATATATTAAACATATGTTTAGTTTTTAAAGAAATTGTTAGCTATTTTCCAGAGTGGCCGTTCTATTTTG